AGAGATTTATCTTTTTAAAAAAACACGAGAAATTAATAGAATGAAGTATCTTGAAGGGGAAAGGAAAGAAAAAAACAGGGAAGAACAAAAGAATTAAAAACAAAAGGCCTGTAAATAAAGGCCCAATAAGGGCTAGGGTTCATATATAAAGCGTAACAGCCTTCAGCGAACGTTCCCATTGTGCTTGCGCTTACCGAGTCCGAAACCCTAGCAAACGACGACAGAGGTAATTTCTTCGTCGCCGCTCGTTCTCCTTCTTCAGCTACGCGTTGTTAATTATTCGCATTAAAATGATTTGTTTGAGTTTTCGATTCATCGAAGTTTCTCCTTTCTGAGCAGAGAATCAGCTATGGCGAAGTCGAAGAACCACACGGCCCACAACCAGTCCTACAAGGCTCACCGGAATGGCATCAAGAAGCCTAAAGTTCACCGCAACTCCTCCACGAAAGGGGTGCGTTTCTTCTCTGTTTTTTCATCAATACTTGATTCGTACAGATTTAATTGTCCTTTGCTAAAAACACTCAAATCCAGGAAATGAGATTAATGTTGAATTGAATTTGCCTTGTTATCGATTGATCCCCATCGAACCTAGTGTATCTTTATTGAATGTGACTGGCAATTTCCAAGAAATTGTTTAGTTAATTGAGTATATTGAGAATTCGGTACCCATATTGCTTCATTTCTCATTTTGGCTGATTAATATTCTCTAAATTAGTTTTTTAAGGGTTAGTTTATAATAAGAATCAGAATTGTTGATTCTGAGAATCAGAATTGTGGAATCAGCAGAAAGAATTCAAAACAAAGGATCACTTTTCAACACATTTCAAAGTAGGAATGCAGACAATTATGCCAATTAAATATGTACATGGGATCCAAATTTGTATAATATTCTTGATAATTTAATCGTTTTAAATTGATTTATGTTGCTTATAAACAGATGGATCCTAAATTCCTGAGGAACCAGAGGTATGCAAGGAAGCACAATAACAACAACAACAAGAGTGGAGAGGTGTCTGCCGAAGAGTAGATTACTCTCTATTCACCCTAAAAATGGCTTGCTGCTTAAAGCTTTTTCAGTTTGTTTCCTAGAATTATGTAGAGGGAATATTGACAATATTGTTATCTGCCTCTTTTTTTGAACTTGTCTTTTGTTTTGGCTTATCGTGCACGGGGGGTTTGTATTATTTTCTTGTTGGTTGCTTGAAGTGTTATTCTATATTGAGTTTTTACTGCATTGATCCTTAACCTCATTGAGTCGATCCAATCATCTTCAATGATTCCGGGTGACATCAAATAACTTTTTTTTAGCAAACTCTTTACCCCAGGTGTCCTCTTTCAAATTTCACATTATATTGGGAGTGGGAATTACTGGCTTTTTCTGTCACCATTGCATGCCTTTACTCTTATAAAAAGGTACTTAGGCTGGAACTTGATTTGGGTTATTGGGTGGTATTTAGGCTTGGTTTGGAAACCTGTTTTGTGTTTTGCATTAGTGTATTAGATGTTTTTTTTAATAGTACCGTTTAATTATGAAAATATTTATGATCCTGGATAAAAGCTAATGCGAAACCGAGTGTTATTTTAGAAAATGAGTTTAAGCTTGATTTGGTTCTCGCGGTTGGCTTCCAAGACTTGTAATTTGTGTATAAATGCCATTTAACTTCTATGGATGGTTCTCATTTATATATAGCTCGAAGTAGCATGACTCAATATAGTTCCAGCTTGAAATGACTCGAGTTTGAGCTTGGGTTTGATCCCAAAACTTTTTTTAAAAATAAAAAAGAAGGGGAGACCCCAAACTAACTTAGGTGCACTCTACGAACTTTGGTAGCACCCATCATGTCATTAACAATGTTGTCATCCATCCCAGGCAGACGGTCCTCGTGGTCAATCCAATTTGCCTCCTAGAAGGTTCCAATTTTAGTAAGGCGGTCAGCCACAAAGTTTTGCTCTTGAAAGATGTTTTTGAACTCAATCCTAGTTAATTTTCTTTGCCAGTTATGCTTAATCTCATCAATGATATCGCGATTAAGGCACCTAAGAGAAGTGTAGTTGGCCATCCACTTTATAACTTCACTTGCGTCAGTTTGAACCTCAAGTTCCTTAACACCCTTTTCCCAAGCCCACTCAATGCCTCTAGCAATTGCCATGACTTCCACTGACGTCGCATAAGTTGGACTAACATTAGCCGTAAAGCTCCCTTTCCACCCACCTCTTCTGTTTCGGAGGATTTCGCTGATGCCTGCGTTGTTGATTAGTGATTTGCAACTCCCGTCAATGTTAAGGGTCCATTCATAATTCTGAGTCAACCTCCACTTAAGCAGGTGATCAGTATAATTGGTAGAATTGCTCACCATTTGTTGCTTTGCAAAGGTTGTGTTGGTTTCTTTAACTGCCTCTTTGATCCAACATGGCTTTCGTCTATCGTCAAGCTCCTCCCTACCAAACGTCATAGCATTTCTCCACCGCCAGATCCACCAGCAAGCAGTGGCAAAAATGACGCCTGAGTCACCATCGATGTCGTTGTTTCTCTTTTACAAAAAATTATCCCATCTAAAGAGATAAATTCAATGTAGGTTTGAAGCATTTGTATGCTTTGTGATGCAACTCTTATTTTTTAGATTTTTTTTATCATGTTTTTATCCAATATTAAGGGTTCTATTTTTCAATTTGTTTAGAAATTCTACAGAATACTTCGTACTCCCTTGGTCCGGGAAAAATTTTCCCATTTGGACTTTTTCTCATTTTTTTGGAGTGTTGACTTTGGGAGGGAATGTCCAAATTACCCTTCTCTTTTGCCACAATTGTCCCTGCCCGCCACTACCACTTCCCATTGCTCCAACCATTTCCGTCAACCGCACCACCGCCACAGAGCCCCCCCTCCCCCCACCATCACTGCAGCCCCACCACCACCTTGCCCGTATCACAATTGTCCCAAAAATTTAGATCTAAAATAGTTGACACTAGAAATGAGAAGAAAAATTTCAACCCTACGCCGCTAGGCGCTAGGCCACCATCGTTGTCAGCCGCCATGTCCGGGAGAAAAAGAGAAAGAGGAGAAAGAAGAAGGGGGGAGGGGAATAGGAGGAGGAGAAGAAGATACATGAACAGATCTGTCGCAGATCGATAGATTTGAGACACAAAATCAGGAGAAAGAAGAAGAAAATGAAGAAATAGTACATCTGATCTGAGAGAAGAGGGATAACAAATAAGAGAGAGATGGGGTGGAGGCCAGAGGAGAAGAAGAAGAAGAAGAAAGAGTAAATCTGAGGAAGATGATGAAGATTGGGGAAAGAGCAGAGAAGAAGAAGAAAGGGCTGAGTGGTGGGTGTGGGAGAGAGAGAAGAATAATAAATGGCTGAGGAGAAACGACGGAACAAAGGAGGAAAAAAAGAAAGGAAAAAATAACAGAAGATAAATGGGTAAGGGTATTTAGGGTAGTTTGTATATTAAAAATTGAAATTAGAAGATTTTTTCCGGACGGAGAAAAAGGAGAAATGAGAAGATTTTTTCCGGACGGAGGGAGTAGTATATTCAGTTTGTTATTTACGAGTATAAAATTTATATAGAGTGCCATATTAAAAAAATTCAAAAGAAGTATTTTTTGGCACGCCCGTAGCGTCTATAAAATTATCTTTGTCTGGATTTTGTTACGGCGTATATTACTTCCATTTCTTAATTTTGAGGGATCTTAAAAAAATGAACTGAATCTTTTTTCACTCGTTCATCAGCTCGGTTATAGGGAGTTATACCCAGAGCATTAAAGTAGAATTATTAATAGTATATGATTTACATTTTTGGGTTGATGAGATTATCTCCAATTGTGTTCTTAGTTGTGTTCTAAAAAGAGCTATTAGACGTCCCTTAGGTCTGGATCGACCAAAGCTCGAAAAAAAGTTAAGCAAGAGTAATTTATAATGAGGGCCTGGTGTCTAGATGAGCATTTACACTGATATTTAGAGGGTGTTTTGCAGTGCACTGCTTTTTATAATTTAACTTCTGCTTTGAGTGGAAGTGATTTTCCTCTGTTTGGTATGTAAGCTTATGTTTTTCACCACCACTATTTTGTACATAGAACACTGTTTCGGAGAAGCAGACATTAGATGCTTTTGTTTTTAGGTTTTGTGAAAAAATCACTTTATTTACAAGTTAATCACTCCCAAACACCCTCTTAGTACTTCATCTGCCAAATTTAAATTACATATTTACTATTCAGTATTCACAAGGTCAAATTTCATTTACTTTGTTTTCTTATTTCCGTTAGTCATTTGATAACATAATATAATGATGTCACCACTAACTTTGTAAATTTTTTGATATAGCTCTTAAATATGTATAATTTTTATTTTTTAAATTATACACTATTTTTCATATAAACTGATTTGAAAATAATTTCAATAAAAAGGAATGTCACAATTTTATATTTCAGTTTTTCAATAATTTTAATTTGTTTACTCATTTTGGTTAATCATTTAAAAAAATAAAATACTTTTGTCACATCTCGTTTTGTAAAACTTTTAATGTACTTTTGAATCATGCAATTATCAATTTTTTATTTCTCTATCCGTTTGTAAATAAAATAATTTTAACAAAGATAATATTTTGCTCATCGCTTGAAAGGTTGGAAACCATTTAGGGCGAAGGGAGTATGCATGCTCGGACTTTCACGTCACTTAAAGTCGTTGATGTGTTTTATCCACCTTTTATCAAAAAAAGATTAGTTCTAATTTTTTGTAAAACAAAACATTCATTATGTGATTACTACTCGTACCATTTAACTTAGAAAGCGACTTAGCATCATTAGCATCTTGAAAACTCTCCAACGATAACTTTTAACTTAAGTTTTTGCTACTATTAAAAAAATTATTCAAAATGCAAACTCTAATTACATGGAAAAAAAGGATGAACCTCATCCTCGAGGACTCTCTTAGACCCGGCTCGGCTGGATGGTCTAATTACATAGAAGCTCAAGCTACAAGCTCGGACTCAGTTCAGCAAATGAAATTAACATCATTTTACTCCCTTTTAAATAAATTCCAAAGACAGTATGTTGTTTATCACTGTAACTTCAATGTGTGTATAAGGATGAACTTCGGTTCGGTTACAATCACACCAACCTTACAATGACACACCGGATGACACTGCTCCATTGAGGCCCCTACGCTGTGATCCAGTGTCAACGTAAGATTGGTTTGATAATAACCACCAAGCCTAACTTCTAAGTTTTTAATAAAATGCAATCTCGCTTGATTAATACCCAAAATATAATTGCTCTTCTAAAAAAATTGGGTAATTTCTTTGATAAAGAGTTGAGTGATGGGTGATGTCCATTAAAATTGATCAACTTCAAGATGGACATAATCAAAGCTTGAAGAACAATATGATGGGTCCTGCAAGGATTTCCTTAACAAAAAATTCAAAGTATAACTATGATTAAACTGAAGGGGTTTATTATAATTAATGGGATAAGCCTTAAAATTAATGGGTTACAAAAATGAAATCCAACCTTTTGTGTGTGTTCTACATGATGACCTCAGCCTTTTCTAAGGCCTTCTTTCGTCCAAGTATCTTCACATTGTTTCCTGATAACAGTTTCATGGCCACTTCCATGTTTACATCCTTGGGGTTCATGCTCTGTCACCACACATTTACATTCTATAATTAGCTTCTTTACAAACTGGCAGTGTATGACAACTAGCAAAAGTTTACCCAATAAAAATGATTTAAGCCAAATAAGCAAGTCAAAAAGGCATTTTCCTGATCAAATAGCTGATGAACAGAATAAGACAATAAATGCTACTTGTATCAAACAGCGCCTATAACTTCATGAAAAACAGAATAAGACAATAAATGCTACATGTGACACTTTTATACACACAAATAATAGACCATAAGCTCTCCAAGGATTCATGCGACATGCAAATACACACATACGAAGAATTTGAACCACAATATACCTTGGGTAATGAAGCAATCGTGCGCTTATGTCTGATTTTATATCCTTCTACTGAAACTCTCATGATAATGTCTCGTCCATCATCTGGATGCTTCCCCTGTATGTATGTCCCATTTTTATAAATCCAGCATTATTCAGATATGAATTAAAAGAAAAAGAAAGAAGTTAAAGGTTGTTGGATAATGTACCAAAGTAAGTGGATAGCGCAGCATATCCAGGGCGTGTTCCAAGGTTACGGATGTGATATCCTTTACCTGAGCCAAAGAATATTGCGAACTCATTCAAAAGAGTCTAACTGAGAGATGTTTGTGAGTGTCAACATGAGGGCAAGTTGCATGGTTATACAGACAAAAAAGTGGAATCAGTTAACGTTGGGCATACTTTCTACAGACTAAAACTCATTCTACAAATGAAACCGGTTTGTTCCTTCATGGTATTATTGACATTAAGAGGGTGTGCACATATATTTTGTTTTGTTTTTTCAAGGGTAAAATATTTCCATGCACAGAAATATACTATCCATTTGTGTGCGTCTTAGCTCAATATATTCCACTCCATCGAAATTGAGATCTTGGTTTGGAGTAAAAGTGTCGATGGGCATTTATATCAACATGCAATAACACGAGAAAACTGAGGATAATGACAAAAAACTAGAGACTGTCATTCCATTATGGCAAAGGCTAACACACAAATACTCTTCGGGTTCACTGGCTGAATACAAGGCCAGGAATGAAGCCTCCTATTTAAGGATAGTGTGAATGAAATGCTTAAAAACATGAAGACATGTGCAGTAAATATAGTTGTCCTATAATGCTGGATGATGAGAACTATCCTAACCAAACATGCCCAGCATGTCCTACTCGGAAGTAAGGCCTTTACACCTATGAGTACATTTTCCATGAGATCTTCAGTTAGGGATAATTTTGGAATATCATAAAGTGAAAAAAAATAGAGATTGAAGAAAGTGCAAAAAGAGGACATCCGAAGATGAAATTTAGTATGAAAAGTGTGGTAAAAAAACTGACCGGCCAATAGAGGAAAACATTACAATAGTGTAACCCAACTTCAAAAGGATACTACAGTAAATAGTAGATAAATAAACAATAACTACTTTTAGAGAGGCTAAATCCACATCCTTGACGGCTAAATCCTATTTCCTCACCCAAATTTGCTAAATCCACTCTCATGCATTTAAACTTGATATTTTTCTTTAAGGGTGATCCGAACTGTTTTTATTCTAAGAATTGCTTTAAAGAAAGTTTAAACTCGTGTGAACAAAAAAAACCTGATTTTTCCATATACTCCCTCCGTCCCAATTAAATCACACTTCTCTACCTTCATGATAAAGTAAAGGATATGTGGTCCACATTCCTTCTGTCTTCTAAACAAAATTCAGCCACCCACTTTTTACTTTTCAGCAATTTTATTAAAGTATGCAACTTCAAAGTGTTTTAATTAATTAGGGACGGAGGGAGTATTAAAAAACAAAGTTTCACATTGCACTTGGCTCTTTAAAACAGCCATAGAGAATGTTTCTTTCATGCAAGTTTGGCTTTTAAAAAAACTTTGTTGTGAGCATCATAATGCTAATAAATAAAAGCCGATAAGGAATATGGTGGCATTTCATAAAAATGTCAATGGGTAGTATTCTATGTCAAAATTAGTTCACTGCTCACATACTTGGGCCAGTGACGATCGCTTGGGAGTGTGTCCTGCCCTGTCTTCTCCAAGTTGAACATAGTATCCATACGGACCATTCTTAACGAAAACCTATACACATGAAAAAATGCAACACCTTATAGTGGACTAAATCATATACAAGGGTTAAGTGATATAATGCACAGGGGAGAGGTGAGAACCTTTTCATTTGAAGATGGATGGACACCCAGCAATATCTGTTCATCTATACTTTTATTATCATCTGATGTAGTTTCATCTTCCTGCTCACCATACAATGTCTTTGCAATGTACCTGAATAGTTTGAGAGTTATTTGCCAATGCAAGTATACAACATAGTTACATTGTTGGTATTTGGTAACAACACTTGCCACAACCACAATTGAGAAGAAAATGCTTCAATGAAGAATACAGTGACATATTTCGTCTAGTTCTACTCATGCAAGAGAAACTATCATTTCCAATATAAAAAAAAGACCAGCAACAAGAGGCCCAAGTTCATCTGTATATGCTGATAGGTCACAAGGCGTAAGAGCAAAGCCTCGAAATGTTCAAATTTATTACATTATTAAAAAAAATCATTAATGAAGTATGAACAATATTATACTCCCTCCATCCAAAAAAACACCTAATTGGGTTTGGCATGAAGTTTAAGAAAAGTAAAATTGAGTGGTTGGAAGTTATGCAGAGAAAAGAGAAAGTTTGTAAGCCACAAGAAGTTATCTAAAAAGGGAAAGATGAGTCTCTTTTTGGGACCTCTAAAAAAGGAAAGAAGTCCTTTTTGGGGCGGAGGGAATAGTAAAAAGAAGAGTGTGCAGCCTTATTTAGGGAAACTCACTTGCACTTAGGGTGTTGATCACAGCCTATAAAATAGCCTGCACCAAACCTGCTGACTTTAAATGATAAAGTTCCTTCCTCACATCTAGGGCATGTCCTAGAATGGTGTGGAAGAGATGCAAATAAAAAGTCTCCATATGTTTTTTCCAACATCTTCTCCACGTGATGGATGTGCACTTTACCAGCATGTTCACAGTACTTGCTAAATCTAGACCAATAATCTTTCAACAGACCTTTCCATTCAGTCAATCCAGCAGACACGTTATCAAGTTCGGTTTCCATATCAGCGGTAAAAGAATAATCTGCCACTTCTGAAAAATAATGTGAAAGAAATGCTGACACCATACGTCCCCGAAATTCAGGATATAGTATCCTGCTTTTTGCAGTCACATATTTCCTATCCATTAATACTTTGATTGTGGATGCATAAGAAGAAGGTCTTCCAATACCAAGTTCCTCCATCTTCTTGACTAAACTGCCCTCAGAGTAGCGTGGTGGATGCTGAGTATGATGTTGATTAATTTCTGTTTTGCAGTGAAACAGTGTGTCCCCCGACTTCAAATCACTTAGAACCTCAAATATTTTAGTCCGGTTATCATCTCCATTTTCATCCGTACGTATTAAACTAGTGTCTTTGTCCCAATTTTCATCTTTACGTATTGAAATTGTTTCTTGGTCCTCATAAACAGCCTGGTAGCCTTGAAACTCCACTTCCGAGCATGTAGAACGAAAAATAATAGATTGATCAGATTTCCCAATATCAAGTACTATCTGATCTATGGTAGCAGGTTCCATTTGGCATGCCAATGCACGGGACCAGATAAGTGTGTATAACTTTAAGGAATCATCATCTATTACCCCAGACAGCATTGAAGGAAGCCTACAAATATCAGTGGGTCTAACAGCTTCATGGGCCTCTTGAGCATTTTTAACCTTCCTAAAATACGTACGAGGATTTGTGGATGCAAAATTATGTCCATATCGTCCTCTAACAAAGGACTGTATGTCCTTTGCAGCCTCCTCTGAAATACGTAATCCATCAGTTCTGATATAAGTTATCAGTCCTGTTGCCTGACCATCAGACAGCTCGAAACCCTCATAGAGCTTTTGTGCTAGCCTCATCGTATATGTGGATGTGAAACCCAACCTGTTAGCAGCTTCTTGCTGGAGTGTTGAAGTTATATATGGAGGAGGCGGGTTTCTCTGCTTTTTAGATCTCTTAGAACTAAGAACTTCAAATACAGATGAAGCGATCTTCTGTTCTATTTCCGTTGCCTCTGAGTGAGAATGAATGGAATGCTGATTTAGCTTTTGAGAGTCGTAATNTTAGTGCAAGAGCAGCAGACTGAACCCGCCCAGCCGATTGGCATGCAGGAAGTTTCCTCCATAACAATGGAGAGATGTTGAATCCTATCAAGTAATCAAGAGCTCGCCGTGCAAGATAAGCATTTACTAAATTCACATCAATCTCCCTTGGACACTGGAGGGCACTTTTGATGGATGATTCTGTTATTTCATTGAAAACAACCCTTGCCACCGTAATATCATCACGTAAAGCATCCTGTTGCTGCAACATCTCTTTAATGTGCCAAGCAATAGCTTCTCCTTCGCGGTCAGGATCAGAAGCAAGAACAATACTCTTGGCTCTGACAAAACATGGGGGAATACATGACATAAAGAATAAAATATAGATGTAAATACAAGAATACAAAGCAATGTCATCTTAAGAATCACTGTAGCCACCAACTATATGTTCGGGTTGATAGCAAGAAATTTAGGGTCAATTAATTGTCTAAAAATATTTTCCACCCTATAAATTCAATCAGCCTTCTAAAGAAGGAAGAGTAATATGATATATCAAAACTGTCATCATCGGATGAAATCTTTTTCCCCCACTTACATAAAATACCTGGCAAATGGCCCAAAACAGCTACAAAAGTAGAGCACGTAGCAATGCAAAAAGACGGATATCATACCCACTTAATGCACCTTTGATAGCAAGAAGGCGAGTCCATGCAGCTGGAGGAACCTCCCACACCATGCTGAAGTCATCATCAGGTCGCACAGATCCTGACCTGGCAGCCAAGTCCCTGATATGGCCATAACTAGGCAGAACTTCAAACATGTCCCCAAGATATCCCTGAATAATTTTTGCTTTTGTGACAGACTCAACCACCAATACAGACTTACTGGTAGGTGGATATAGTGTTGGCCACACTTTCTGAACCTGAGGTTGAGCCTCAATTTCGCTGTTGATGTTTAAACTTTGATATTGTTGCAAGTTATTTGTTGAAGAAGAATTTTGTGATTTGTCTGATTTCACAATACCAGTGGCTCCTGTATTTGACTTTCCCATTCTGCGGTTTCTTTTCTTGGAAGATGTAGGTTGCTGCTTTCCTAATACCTTCTCATCAGATACTTCCGAAATGACAGTTGAACTAATCTGGAAATCTATGAAGTTAGTTAATGCAGTTATTCATTACTACAATCGTGAAATATGTACTCCTTATCGGGATATTTCTAACCTCTGAAATGGCAGGAGATTGCTTCTTTTTTGCAGTTTGTCTCTTCTTTTGTTGAGGAACATCATCCTTAGCATCAGTAGATTTATTGTCACACTTTTTACTTCTTGATCGTTGCTTCAATTTCCCTTTTGTTACGGACGATTGTTCATTGCTAGCAGGTAAACTTTGAATCTCAACATTCACTTCCTTATTAACACCATGAGGAATGTGGCCATTTTCTCTGTCTGAGAGTGCTTTTCTAGGGATACTAGAGAAGGACCGGGACCCCAATCTGCCCAATGAACCAGCACTGAGGACATCTATGGAAGCTTGATTATACTGTAACCCCCTTCCAAATTTTGGCAGTAAAGTACAGAGCCACTTTGGCTCAAATTTTATGGCATAAACTCTACAGGGAATTCCCCTGGTAGCCAAACATGTCCTTGCTTGCCGAGGGAGTGTGTCAACTCTTTTAATACTTCCAAAAGCAGGATACTGTAAATGAATTGATGAACAGTTCTGAACTGCCTTGAACTGTAACTTAAAAGAATTTTATTTGAGAAATTAAGAGTGCAGTGTTGAGAGAGACAAAATAAATAAGAAAAAGATAGAAGCCATGATTATCAACATTACAATGGAGCTACATATTACTCACTCTGTCCTGATTTTGTTGTCAACTTTTTTTTGGGGATGCCTGGAATTTACTGTCCAATAACTATATTTAGTAAAGGCTAATTTGAATTGTCAAAAATGCATCCTGAAATGTTTATTACCATCGCTCACATAAATGAAAACAAGGTAATTTCAGGGGTTTTTCTTATTTTCCCAGATTCAATTCCTTAAGTTTGAGATTTTTTGGAAAGTGTAACACAAAATAGGATGGAAGGAGTAGAAAACACTATCACATACATATTCACCTTCGAGACCTAAATAAACCAAGTAATCTTGTATTGAAGTATACAATATTTTCCATCCGCGAGCTAAAGAAAACACTCCTAACATGAAATTATCTTTAAGGCATTAAATACTCAAAAAGAAGAAGAAGAAGATTGAAACTGGTATTCTACCTCCAATTCAGTACCTTTAATCTTCTCAAATTAGAAACTCATCACTTACCATTATGGTGAGAGAATTACTCACGGCAGTAGTGAATAGTTGCTTGTGACCATATTGCCCTGATGTTAATCATAATTGCACATATTTCAATACAAATAACAGAATTTCAAAATACAATCAATAAATATCTTTTGCAATGATGTGATGTACTATTATGTAATAGATGTTTCTAAAATCCCTTCGCAAAATCCAAGGTTGGTTAGTTTACAAACAGGAATCAGACTCTTACTCTACCTGTTGGTTCAAACGAAACACTTGCTCTTACTCCTACAGCCTAAGATGTGGGAGAAATAAAAAAACTCCTTGGACTTTTTAGATTTTCTAGAAAACATTCACTTTATTTTATTTTTTGCGTGAACAATCACATTATTAACTAAGACAAATGTTATATTTAGAAAATAGTCCTTTATTTCTAAGTTTGAATTAACCAAAATTTATGCATTGTTCACCCAAATTCATGTTTACTGAAAAGAGGGTGTCTTCATATTAATGAAAAACATGAAAGGGCATTCAAATTGCATTAAACAGATTTCGTAAACAGAACACAGGTTGATTTAAAGGCTATGTGACCCATTAAATAGCTGTTTCTTGGGTACTTAAACATTGTTTTAAAAATAATCTAATCATAACTGTTATACTGGTTTTTAATGTCCTTTTAGTACACTAGAGAGATATAATATGAATAGTACTACATAGTAAAATTCATTCTTCCCGACCAAACAATGATCCCCATGACAGTATTTATTCATCTGCACTTCATTAGTACAGAGTACAGAATGGAACTTTTAATTTTTGAAGACTATGCATAGTACAAATACAATACGAAGAAATGTTGATTATAGGAAGAAGTGAAGAGCAATATGAATGCATCACTTAATTTGTGAATGCTTTTTTTGATATAGTTAATAAATTGCTATTCATACGTGCAGAGCATAATAAATGCATGAATTAAATATCGAACATATTTATAAAGATACTTAACTGTGAAGACCATTCTTGACTTGTGGCAGGATGTTTCTCATCATCAAAACATTACTACAGAGTGCTTCTACTTCTAGAACCGACAACCTGAAACGGTGAACGTTGAATACTGAAATCCAGACAACAACAACAACAACCCAGTTAAATCCCGCAAGAGTAGGGTCTGGGGAGGGTGTGTGTACGCAGACCTTGCCCCTACTCGAATGTAGAGAGGCTGTTTCCAAAGAGACCCCTGGCTCAACGTCGAAAGTTGCATTGCTTGACTAACTGCTACTTCATTAATTAAAGAAGCGCAGACAGTTTAGAGATCCATTTTGATTTATTCCATCACACCCCAAAGCCACAAAAAGGTGAAATTTTGGCTCCATCGCAGATGATGGAAATCCAGAAATACAAGTAATTCCATGACCAAAGCTGTAAACATGTTTTTGATTATACTGGTTTTACCCAACGGTCTACATGCATATAAATTATTTTGGGTAAAGCCATTATTCCACGCAGGCTTTAAAGATAAAGACACTTAATATTTTGAAGTTAATGATTTTAGCCTAAATGGGGCTGAGAGGCTTTCAAGTGTAGTTTTTAAACCCAACAAATTGATGAGATCTTATCAGTACTCCCTTCATCCCGAATTAATTAAGGTTTTGCATTTGACAAGCAGTTAGAATCATATCCCACAAAAGCAAGGTCCGGGGAGGGGGGTACACATACCTTACCCTACTAAAAGTAGAGAGGCTGTTTCCAAGAAACAGAATAGGACTACTAAAACATGTAGAAAGAACAAAAATAGGACACATATTTTTATCCCAAAGTATGATCAAAATTCATTTTTTTAATCACGCTGATCCATTAAAAAATCTGGGCTAATCCATTTCCTGCCGCGGTATATAGTCACAAGGGACACCATGCCGCAATAATTCCTAATACAACAAGTTATGTTCTCCTCGTTTATACTTTGTAGAATTTAAATATTGTAGATTTTTAATAACAAATTTGTGCATAGCATTATTCTTTTTTTGAGAGGAGAATTAATTATTTATATAACAACACAATGATATTATTATAAATTATAATCTAATATAAAACAAAATCTAATTTTGTTCATTAAAATTCCTAATTTCAGAGCAACATATTCATTCTAATTCAACGCAAAACAGAGTAAGTTATTAAAAAAAAACTTCTCTTAACACGTAATTATGCCTCTTATAAATAATAGTCACTGAAACTAGCGAAAAAAAATTACTTATCAATACAGAGTCTAGAGATAAGCGGGTGGCGGCGGCGGCGAGCAGTGCAGGTCGGAGGATAAGCGGGTGGCCGGAAGCCGTAGTTCGGCTACAGACTATTGGGGGTCGTGGTGGAGTGCTGGCATGTTATTGGAGTTTGTGGCTGCGTGAGGCACTGTGCGGTAGAGGGCGAAGCATTAGGGCTTCTTCCCTGGAAGGGAAGATTTAATTCCAAGAAAATCACTCCAATTCGGCAGAGGGACAATTGTAGTCGGCGACTACTATCAGTTGGCGACTAGGAAAGAAAAATGACGGATGCAAAAAAAAACTCTGTTTTTTTGTTTTCTTTTTCCCTTTTCCTAGAAATCATGTTACACTTACACTAAAGAAGTATAGTCCAATATTACACCAAAGATATACTTCTCATCTAATTGAAATCTAGTTATAAGGGCTATTTGTGAATAGCCTTAGCGTTTTAAAAAAACTATCTTCGGGCAGCATTTGGCGTTAGCAGTTTCAAAGTAATCTGCACCGTTAAAATTTTATCCAAAACGCTAATCACTAACGTTATTCCCAAACAAGTCCATAATTAAAGCTGGTTCTGATCTGATCTTGTTTCAATAAGAATAAGTAATCAATAAGAAAATAAGTTGAAGAAAACATGAACTTAATGATGTACTCCCTCTCTTCCATTTTATATTGCTTGTTTTGAATTTGGGACATATTTAAGGAATGTGAAAAATGGAATTGACTTTCTAAAAATGTCCTTACTTTTTTAAAGGGTGACGATGAATGAGAAGATAAGATGGGGAGGAATGACTTATTTTAGGGTAGTTTAGGTATTTTACCCTAAAAAATTTACTATAATAAGAAACATGCAACTTATTTTGGGACGGATAAAAAAGGAAAACCGACAAAATAATTCTTATATGGAATATAAGGATATAATTTCTATATTTCAATGATTTTTATAATTTTTTTACTCCCTTCTTGTATAAAATTATTCTCCTTTTTTCGTTTTTGTTCATTCCAAAAAATTCATTTCTTTTTTGGAAAATTTCTCTAAATAGTACTAAAATATAATGATTTTTCCAATATAGTACCACTAGTCATTATTCACTGGTCATTGTTCAAGTAAATGTCCACCGTCATTGGACATTCTTCAAATTAAATGCCCACCACCAAGGGACTTTTTTTCCGTCACTAGACATTATCCAAATATTATTTAGAGAATAAAACGTTTAAGTATTACATTTTGAAATAAAATTTGTTTTAGTTTATTTAGTGTAAATTTCACTTCTTCTAAAAGTAGAAAACTTGTGACTAATTTTTTTTTCAGTCTCCTCTATACCAATTTGAACCAAACTTTTTTAACTTTTCAATATGTTTTTTTTAACTCCATAAAATTAAAATGAGAAATTTTTTCATAAAATCTTTTTAAGAAGTTTGGTCCGAAGTTTTTCAGTATATTTTTTAAACTCCATGAAATTAAAGTGAGAATTTTTTTATAAAGAGTTTTATACTCCATAATACTCCGTATTAATTCGAACTTTTTTTTCTTCTCGCCTTTACCAATGTTGTGTAATCCGGGGTATTATATATTTTATAAAAAGTTAATATTTTAAAATTATTTTAAAAAAAACTGCTAATATTATATATCACGAAACGTACTATATATATTTTCTCATATCTATGTTAAACTTTATAACATTGACCAAGAAAATCAAATCGAGACGTAGGTTGTTTCAAAGACTCATACAAATAATTTTTGCGAAAAAATAATTATTATCTCTACGTATGTATAGTATGAGATACTATTATTATTTTGATACTCTTTTTGTCTTAAAAGAATGAATAAATTACACAAAATATGAGTAAAATATAACATTAATTATTAAAAAAGAAGTTCAATATTTTATCTCCCAAATAAGAGTTTACAATATTTTTTTCAATGCATAATGACATCTCATTGTCAGAATTCATTATTCAAAAATCACAAAAACTTTTACGTACTATTTGTTTATATGTTTTAACCGATTATTTCACGAAAAATTATACACTCTCTGTCGCATATCTTTCTTCACATTGAGTAAAATGAAGAAAAATATCAAATTTTTTCAACACGCATTATATTTTATTTAAATATATTAGTCTATATAAAAATAAAAAATAAAATTTGTATATTTGAAAACTACATTAAAAGTTTAACAAAATAAGTAGTGACAAGAAATATATTTTATTTTATTATATAATTTATGAAAAGTACAAATAAATAAAAATTGGACCATGCTACACTTATACCAAAATTTGTATCCCAAACTTACACCAAAGATATACACCAACGTTTTGATGGTTCACACTGACATAAGTGTGTGTAGGTGCACACCTGCGGTGTACAAATAAGGTATAAATCCTTAGCACAAATACCTTTATCCGTTAAAATTCTCGGGAGAATGCTATGTGTACCCCGGATTGGTACACCGGGTGTACACCAACCAACCCCACCCCGTGTAACCCCCCCCCCTTCTCACCCTATTCTTTTCTCTTTCCATACTCAGATCTGTCTAGTACCCCACCCCACATTTCTTTTCCATTTCCCATCGTCTTTTTCTTGCCGGCACAGCATCGCCTCCTCCTTCCGGATTGTCGCTGCACGTCATTTCCATTCGTCTTAAACGGTTCGTCGCCACCAGATCCTTCATGGTCCCCTCACTCGATTTCCCTCCCTCACTAAAATATCTTCTCACAAGTAGCGACTGAGCCAACCACCACTATCGTCGCTACCGCCTTCACCGTCGCCATCAGGTAAGTTCATGTTCTTCTCTTTAAAAAAATTCAATCAAATTTCTATTTTTCTAGTTTTTTCATCTTTAATATGGGAAAATTATTGATTGCAATCTACTCAGGTAGGTGTGTAAACTTGCGTTTGAAATTTAAAGTTTTGTCAATGGCAAAGTCCAGATTTGCCTTGAATATGGTTGGCCAGAAATTTATTACATTTTTCATTGAGGTTACCCAGACATTATGTGTCTTTGTTAAACAAGTACATATATTTAGTGTATGTGAATTACTTACTCATAGATGAACATTGTTGATGACATTTATTTTTTCTAATAGATTGAGAAAAGTGCACGGATTTCTTCGGACCATGGCATCTTCCTCTTCGACTTCCAACTACCGTGTGAAGAAAGAGACAAGGAGACAATATAAAGCAATTTCTTCCAACTTGAAGATGGCGAGGCCTGAATTAGATCTACGTTATGGTACGGTAAAGTGTGATTGTTTGCCTCATTCAAGAAATTGTGTAATTCGAGTTGTGACTAACCATGAAAAGCCAAACAAAGGTAGGCTTTTTTATACTTGTGATCACTGTGGGTTTTTTCTTTGGTGTCATCCACTGAAGGCTGAATTTCGAGGTAAGCCACTGCCAATTGATAGCTTTGTAATGGGTCGGTTTGTTTGAAATTACGGAGAATTCGAGGAGGAGAGCTATTTACATGAGAATGCATGTGGAGCTCAAAACGAAATGAATACAGCTGTGCCCCGTGAGAATCATTGCAATAGGGGCGTGAATCTATGTCAAACCATAAACCTCCTTTGCAAGTTGTTGGGTCTTGTTGGTGTTTTGGTTGCTCTTTTGAAGTAGGTTGATGTATTTAATAGTGTTCTTGGGGCTGTGTAGTATTTTGAGTTGTTGATGTTCAAGTACTTATGTACCAATGTTGTATGACTTGTGTTGAGTGAATTTGTGAAATTTGTGTAATGGAAGATCATTGTTTTGTCATTGTTTTTTATGGCTTGTATATTCAGTTTTATGGCTTGTCCTTGTATACCAATTTTTTGTTTCTGCCTGTATGCAAAAACAAGTCATCACAATGCAGACACTGATGAAGACAAACAAGATACTAAGCTGAGTATTTCGTCCACTAAATGAAAACCAAGAAAGACCTACCTTCAATGTTAATTGCTTGCCTGCTTCGTATCATGTATGTGAACTCCTACTCACAAACGCAGAATGTCCGTTTTCAATGTTAATTGTTTGCCTGCTTCGTATCATGTATTTATCTTTCTAAATTTTTACTTTTTGTTCTTGTATTATGAACCCTAAGTTCTTAATTGCAATTTTTCATGTTTTGAAAAAAATGTCAAATGTATGTGAACTTCTACTCACGGACGTAGAATGTTTGTTTTCAATATTAATTGATTGTCTACTTTGTATCATGTATTTAATGAGACGCTCAAGGTGTTTTGAAGCCTGAAATGAGAGGCTTATTGTCATATGTTCAACTAAGTAAGGAGTATGTTTTGGTCACACAGACAACAAGTGTCTGTAATTCATCGTAAACAGAAACTTATTGTCTGTAAAATCTAAATATACCAAATAATGCTATCGTAAAGAATGTTTCACAATTACTCTTGATTGTAAAAAAGAAAAAAAAATTATAATTACCAATGTTTAGTTACACAAACACTAAAATTCTATAATTCTTAATACACAGACATTTATTATTTGTGTAATTTAAATGAAAATTTCACCCTTCAAATCTATGAAATAGTACAGTACCAAGAACATTTCACAAAATTTTCTACGTTTAAAAAAAAGAAAAATTACAATTAATACTATTTAGTCACACAGATACTAAATGTCCTTATTTTCTTGAACATAGACATTTACTATTTGTGTAATCTGAATAAAACAGCACCACCATCTCTGCCATAATTTACTGCTCCGGTGACACTACTAACGACAAGAAAGTCATTAACTCATTATGGCGGTCTAGGAGGAGCGAGCAATGACGAAAAAACAGGTGGCGGTGAAGGAATCGAAGAATTGTTCTTTGCCCTGCTCCGATCCAGATCTTGATGATGATGATGATGCTCTTGGTTGCTTCTGGGCGGCGATGGGGAACTCACGCCGTGAACCTTCTGTTTATGAGAGAGAAGGAGAGAAATGAGGGAGAAGATGGGGAATTAGTGCGATGGAAAGAGAAGAAAAGGAAGTGGGGTTAGTGAGGGAGGAGGGGGGAGTATATGGTGTTCAATTGAGGTACACCAAGTGGTGTACCCCTAGCGGGACTGAAATTCTCGTCACTCTTTCAAGAGAAATGCTAGGGGTATACCATTTGGTGTACCCCATTTGTCCCCCACCCATTTCTCCATAATATAATTTTATTTTATTTTTATTTATTTAATTTTTTTTTATTTTCTTGCCTTTTTTATGGTGATGGAAGGGGTGAGGGACAAATAAGTATATTTGGTGTTGGAGTTTGAACTGATCCGCTCCTCATCCATAATCTCGGCGCCAAGCTCGATGGCGGGCGGTTGCTTCTCTCAGCGATCGGCACGTAACTCCATTCCTTCCCTACACGTGTTCTCCACCGCACAGCCACAACGCCCCACCTCTTCTTCTTCGTCTTCATTCTTCTCCACACCTAATAATCACTCTTCTTGCTCTGCAATTTCTCCTGCTTCAACTCCCGAGAAAAGGTTGATTGAGTCGCTGTTTTCGCAGGGTATTAATTATCGCAAGGGCCGCCGGGGGGAAATTGAAGGATGAGTAGCACGAATTTGGAGACGCGTTCGCTGCTGGACGAAATCAGAGGGTTCGATAATGGCGCAATGTTTGATCTGGGCCATCCCCTCCTGAATCGTGTTGCGGAAAGCTTCGTCAAAGCTGCTGGGGTGGGTAATCCCTAATCCGATCTATTATCGGCTATATTTCATCCTTTACTGGGATTCTAGCAAGTTTTCCCCCTTGTTTTTTTTTACATCAAATTATTTATGATCGATAATCCATTTTTGTTATGCTGTGCCTGTTGATTACTACGTAGATTGGTGCCGTTCAAGCAGTAGCTCGGGAGGCTTACTTCACAGCCGTTGAAGGTGTGATCCATCGACGCTTTTAATTGGTTCATTCTTTTATTTCCTTAATTCTTTCTTTCCCCTCCTCTTCTTCCTTTTGTACCAGCCTCGAACCCTTAACTTATGGGTTGGATTTGGAATGTTCCAAATACACCAACCAAACCAAGCCAAAGGAAGCCAGTATTCTTTTCCTTAATTCTGCATTTCCGCTTTCATGTTCTATTGGACAATGACGAGCAATTACAGTTTATGTTCTATTGGAGTATATATGTTGTTATTGTACTGTTATGATGGGGTGGGTAGTTTCGATAAAAAAGTGCGTGGGAATCAGGTATAGGTCAAGATACTACTGCCGTTCCACCGGAGATCGGAGGTGCCAAGAAGCATCATTCTTTTCCTGGCCTTAGAGGTGAGTTAGTAGTCCCTATCGTTAATTCTAAAGAACTTATCCAACGTAACGCGGTTTAATTTGGACAGTTTGAAGAAATTTGTTTAGAAGAAATATGAACCACATATTAGGAAAGTGTATTCATTAATTCGATCGGTACAGAGAGACTACTTAAGTAAAAATCTTATGCTGAAACTTGTTACTTTATGGTTTACTATTGGTTATTGCGGTCTGCGAAGTACTTATTAGCACAATACGCAAAAAAAAAAGATATTCCGGGTAATACTTAACAGGGATAGAAATATAGAATCTGATCAACTTCAGTCTTAGAAGAAATAGATAGAACCCGTCTCGAAATAAACTTCATGGAGTTCAAAAAATGTTGAAGAGTAAAAAATGTGAGTTTTGTTTCGTTTACTTTGATATGGATAACAAATGAAAGTGAAGTTAATCTTGGTATGGAGAGTATATTGCAAAACGTAAGACAATCAGGAAGTGTAACTATACCATCAGATGTCACTCAGACTCTAATACATGGTTTTTGTTATTGTACAGGCGACAGCAACAAAAACTCATTCGAGGCTTTGGTAAGTTCCCTTTTTAGTGTCCTTGTAATGATAAGTTCGTCTCTCATCTTCCTTTTTCCCCCTCTTTGTAAGTATCATATGCTATGACTGTTTAACTCACAAAATTTGAGGATAATGCTGCAATATCAATGTGCAATTCATTGGTGTTTAAGTTTACATAGATGAAGAGCTGACGATGCTAAGTCCTCTGTATATGGACTATGCAGTAATGTTTAATTTCAGGTTTCTGGGCAGGAGAAAACTTATTGTTCTTTTCACAATGTTTGCAGATAAAAAGCACTGGAAAAGAATCTTTGCAATGGGGTAAAGTAAAGCTATTTGATTGATACCCCCNCAAATAGTTGTTTGTTATAATTGAGGAAGTGGTTCAACATGATCACTTCATCACTACCCGATATCCAACAAGAACCCCAACTGTAGTGGAATCAGTATCATGAAATTTAGTGTCGATTAGTTATCTTAAAATACAGTAACTAACAGTTGAAAGTCTTGCAAAAATGCAAAGTGGTTCGGTATGCAGTAAGATCTTACAAAAATTGTGTGGTATGCAGAAGTTCTTTAAATGATTATGTTAAAAAGAGCATCCCACATCGGAAAAGTGTGAGGAAATTGATCGGTATATAAGCTCTTGAGTTGAACTAACTAATCGATTGGATTCAATCTTTTAATGTGGTTCGACCCAAGTGTCTTATTGCCCAATCCAATTGTTCATACCCAATCCTAAATTCTATCATGGTATCAGAGCAGGTTTTGGCCCACCTCGTTTGTCAAGGTGTCCGTCTAAACGTTCATTCCTAGCGGCCCGTTAGTCTTTAGCCCAGTTGTCCGTATGAAGTATGTACTCAATGGTCTGTGGCCCGTTTAACACGATTGCTCGTCTGGAAGTCCATACCCAGCGGCTCGTGGTCCTTTAGGTGTTGGCGCTCAAAAAAAAGTTAAGGGAATGTGAGTTCATTTGCAAGTGGTCAACCAGTTAGATTCAAAATGGCCCGGTTGTCCACTTGAGGGGGAGTGTTAAAAAGAGCATCCCACATCGGAAAAGTGTGAGGAAATTGATCGGTATATAAGCTCTTGAGTTGAACTAACTAATCGATTGGATTCAATCTTTTAATGTGGTTCGACCCAAGTGTCTTATTGCCCAATCCAATTGTCCATGCCCAATCCTAAATTCTATCAGATTAAAAAATGGAGGGGGTTTACTGTTAGAGAGTTGGTGGTTGTGTTTTGTTATCAATATCACGATTCACCATGACCACGCTATACGTTTTTCTGCTCTTGCTAGGCTTTGCTGCAGGATTGCATTCTGGTCTCACGTATGGGCTAAAGGAGGTTCGAGGAGTACACGATTGGGTATGTTTTACTTCATTGTTGTTTGAAAAAATCCCATGCATTTACTCATGTTTAATTCCTTCCTAGGCATTAAACTCGCTTTCAATGACTATTTATCCCCTTTTCACTATTTATCTTGGCTAACCCCATCTCCCTTGGGTGGCGCCTAGCGGGCCTGCTGGTTGGCATCTACTCCCTCTGTTTCATAAAATAATTCCTCTTTTACTTTTTACTCTTTCTATAAAACATTTCTACTTTTTTTTTTAAAAAGTCACTTTTACCCTTACTAATTCTTACTCAACCCATCCACATCATATGTATTTACTATTAATTTAACCATTACATCCTACTTTTACCTATCACATCAAAAGGCAAAGTTGAAATATCAACTACAAAATACACTCTCTTAAATTTGCCAAACGTTAAAACAGAAACTCATCTTTTGTAACGGAGGGAGTATTTAGTATTGCACATCTGTTCTGTTTGGTTGGTCATCAAGATATATAGATCCCTACTTACCCGAATCTATTACACATAACATGTTTGGTGGGTTATCAGAGAAACAGTGCATTGGCTGGAGCCATAACCGGAGCAGCATTGGCTCTCACCGGGAAAGACCACTCTCACGAGCAGGTGATCCAGTGTGCTATAACCGGAGCAGCCATCTCCACTGCAGCAAATGTCCTTAGAGGCATTTTTTGATGGATGTTTTAGCTATATATATGCATGTGTATGTTTCTGCATCTGCCTTAGCATATTCCTAGCAAGGAAGCTGTGACTTGAGGCAAAATTGTCTTCAGATTTTGAACTTTCAAGTTTGTCATTTGCATGGACTGCAGTTATAAGAAGTTGTTATGACTTGTTGCAACATTGTTTTCCTGTTGATTTTGGTATTATGAAGTTTATTCCTTGTACTCATCGCCCCCACTCCAACCACAGATCATTTTTTTAATTTATCGTTTTTAGAATCGGCTAGGTTCAATGGCAAGTGGCCACGGAAGCCACTTTCACTCTTCAATGCTCCGTTCATGCCCCCTAACACAGGGTTAAATTTTTTAAATTTATCATTTTAAGATCATTGAATTAATTTTAATACGGAGTATATAATTTAGATATACGGAGCTTTCTCCTTTACACAGGGTGAAAGTTAACTTACTTTGTGTGCTTATTTTTAGTACTCATTTTAGTACTCCTTAGTTTGTATTTTCTCTGTTGTGATTTAATCTTAAGAAAATCATTCTAATGAGTAAAATATAAAGAAAGTACTAAAATATGATCTCTATGTTTTTATTTCCAAAATAAGAATTCGTATTGTGGTAATGTGTCACTGTATATGGACAGTTCATAATATTTTTTGGCAATGTATATGATCATAATCGGTAGTGTTTATGGACATTTCACAATACTTTTTAGTAATGTATATGATCACGATTGACACTGTAAATATAATAACTTCTATTTTGGTATATTATTAATGTTTCGATTCTACTTAGTAAAAGTAGGATGTGATGGGTAGATTATTAAAAAAAGATATGACGTGATAGAAAGGGTATGAAAAAGTAAGAGGTAAAAGTGGTTTTTTAATACAAATGGGACGGATTTTAAGGGACGCAATTTTTTCGAAACGAGACAGACTTTTTGGGACAGGGGAGTATTTTTTTATTACTCCTTATATAAGTTAATACGAACTACCGAGTATTTAGATCATGGAAAAAATGTCTGGGGTTAGCTTTTGGATAAAACACTTTCGCATTAGGCGTGGGTAGAGCCGTTGCTTGGTAATGGTTTGGGTTCCAACCTAAACCAAGGGCGGATATAGCAAGCAAACTAGGGTTTTAGGCCAGAGAGAGAGCTGAAAAGCAATCAGAAGCAGAAATTGATTGGTTGAGGAAGAGTGGGGAGGAGGATGAGTACTATGAAGTTTTGCAGTGGATGGTTAGTCCATCCAATTATTTTACTTCGTTTTGGTTACTCTCTCCATTTTGTTTTCATTTGACTGTGTTTGTGTTGGACCCGTACAGCAACAACATTCTGTACCCTATGGAAGACAGAGATCACAAGGTCCTCCTCTATGGCTGTCGCAATTGCCCCCAACTGGTACTGCTTTCTCAATTAATATTCATTTCTGGGTCGTTAAGGTTTCTGCAAGTCTTCTCTTATGATAAGTGAAGCATTTGTGCAGACTCCTACTGATTATCCACCATTGTTGGTTGATAGAGCTTGGAGATGGAAACTTATATGAGTCCCCATCTCACTGGCCTCCTTTGAGAAATATCAATTGCTCGTTTTCTATCGTCACTCTTCAAAATGTTCGATACCAAGTACTCCCTCCGTTTCATGAAACGGTTCCTATTTTGACTTTTAGGAGAGATAAAAAAGTGTATATTTGTGGTTGAGTTTTCAATTTTGCCCTTGATGTGATTGGTAAAAATAACATGTGATGAAGAGATTATTAGTGAAAAAGTATGATGTGATAGGTAGGGTAAGAAAACGTAGGTGAAGTGAAAGAGAAAGTGGAAGTGTTTTGGGGAAAACAAAAAAATGAAAGAGGAAGTGTTTTAAGAAACTAGTATTTTGTAACATTGGTAGGGATTTCTTTCTTACTAGGGAGAGATAAAACATTCCTCTTACACCAAAACAAGACATTCAATGGTTTTTATACTAATATAAGACTTACAATGCCAAAAAAACATTGTGAAATGCCAACACACTGCCAAATTGCATGCATTTCGTAGTGCCAATCCTCTGGTTTAGGGGATAGAAACATAAAACGTTATATTTTGGTATAAGTTTCATGTTTTAGTCTTATTTTTTGTAATATTAATGTATCAAGTTTTGTAAATACATTTCATTTTCTTAATGTGTGCATAATGCATATATCTTAACTAATGGGTAAAAGAGAGCAGAAAAACAAGAATAGACCCAGTAAAATTCTAGGAAAAGTAGGTTTGTGTATGTAGGCCTTACCCCTACTAGGTAGTAGGTAGTACAGAGGTTGTTTCCAAGAGACCCTGAGCTCAAAAATAGAGCGGAAAGAGTTTTGGTTTTATTTTTGATTTCATACAGTACGAGGAGTGCGTGCATTTATAAATTTGATCTTAATACCATTGGGCCAGAACTTGCTTCATTGTGATACTCCGATCTTATATTTGGCAGGAGAGTGCTGTAAGCAATTGTGTATACAGAATCAAAATAAACCATGCCGGGGAGCGTGCAAAAGCAATGTCAGATGCAGCTTCAGATCCAACACTCCCACGCACAAAAAATGTGACATGTGCTCAGTGTAGCCACTCAGAGGCTGTCTTCTTTCCGGTATGCCTTATATTTTGTTATCCGTTGGGTTTCGAATTTTAAATCTTTCGAGTCCATTGCTCTAGTTTAAGGTGCAGGGCCAGACAAGAATAAGTGATTCCCACACTTTTTGAATTATTTCCCGAGTCCCACAAAGCCCTTCAAGGGTGGGCAGTACTCATGGAAAGTGTCAAATTCCCTCATAGTTTAAAATCTCAATATGCTTAGAATGAATTGTTTTTTACATTCACTATCGTGGGATCTCAAGCTTGTAGTCTTTTGCCTTACCAGCTTCTTTCTTGTTTCAATGAGTAGCTTTCTTTCTTTGCTCAACAACTTTCATCCATTCGGTGTCAACTAGTTCAGGCAGATGCTTATATTGTACTCCCTTTGTTCACTACTATTTCTGTTCATCCGGAAATAGTTGTCTACTATTCATATTTAGTACTCGGTAAACAAATTATGGTGAATTATCTAAAATATTGGGGTAATTGTAAACCCATTTGTTCTCTATTCTGTCAGGTTGGACAAATAGAGTTGAATATTTCAATGACTTGGAAAATACCAGAATATTTTAGTTTATACTCCTTTTGTTTCATTATTCCTGGCTCTTTTATTGTTTTATATGTCCCGTTATTTTTTGTCACATACCATATTTAGTACTCCACAGTATTTATGTGAATTACACTCATTCTTGAATAATGCTTACATAGTTCCAAGGTCCCTATTAACAATGTGAACCTTCTCACATTTTTCATTAGCTTACATGTGGATATTTTTTCTTGTAAAAGACCCACTTCTTTTGTGCTACAAATACACTAAGGTCCCTAAAATGAGCATGAACTTTAGATCCACGGAAAATTTGCCCTCATTCTTAGTTTATTTTACTCTGTACTTTTTAACATCGATATCAACAATACAAATGTATGTTTCTTGATATGTAAGTCACTAAAGTATGTCACTAACATCATTGTTGCAGGCAACTGGTACTGGAGAAGAAGGAATGTCACTGTTTTTTGTTTGCTGCAATCCAACATGTGGCCACAGGTGGAGGGACTAAATATAAGTACTATATGAAGGGAATATGCATGGTTGGTTGTCAAGGGGAGACCATAATTGGGACCATTTTCTCCGATTAAAAAAAAGAACTTGTCTAGCTTTATTTAGTCGTCCCAAATGTTCACTTTATCTTTGTGTTTTCTTGCACTTGCGACATATTTATTATTAATGCATCCCAACCTAGCTTGTTAATAGTTTTTGTTCTATCAACGGATTGTGTCTTTTCCCAATGGACAAAGAGCCGTGTTTTTTTTGCATCCCGAACCCCTCTCATCTTCGTGCTTCAACCATGACTTGTGTTTGAGAATATTGATGACTCGATGTTGTTTGTCTTACAACATATGCGTGAATTGAATAAATTGTACATATAAAATAGGGAAAAATATGCCAACAAGAATAAGTGAGTCACTTGTAACAACGGCTTTTGTTAATGTGAGCTCTAGAGAAGTTGAATGGTGGCCATTTGAATGAACTTACTTTCAATATGATTTATTTGAGAACTAGAGCAGAATTAAAAGATTAAAATTTACATATTAAAAAATTACATTAAAACTTACACAAAACAAGAGATAATATAAGTATATTATTTTATCAAATGAGTAACAAAAAAGGGAAAGAAAAAGAAGTTTAACTATATAAATAGTAGTAATTTGAACCGAAAGGAGCAAATATCTACAGGTATAATTATCCACTCCATGGAACAATAAACAAAGATGTTATTCATACTTGACTGCACGCGTTATTTCCCACGACACAGCTTCTTGCTGGTGGTTGCCTGTACTAACATCATGGCCCTTCACCAATGCCACTGTGAACTTTTCGTTCTCAAGGGAAGAAGGATACATGATTTGTTCTTCCTGTAAACCATTACTCCAATTAAAAGAGAAATATTAGAGCACTGTGATTTCCATTGTCTTGGGTTGAAAAAACTCTGAAAAAAAAGAATTCATTTCATAGTTCATCAACAAAAGTCAAACTTAAATGTTCTACAATATTTACTTTCGAGAGTTTTGTCTCTGTTTTAAAAAATTTACAATACAAATGTTTTATAAAGTTTGTTCAAATGGGATGTCACACATAAAAACAAAAGGTGTTCATCTTTCCAACAACAACAATCTAATTGGATCCCACAAGAGTAAAGTCTAGGACAGTGCATATTCAAACCTTGCCCCTACTTGAGAGTAGAGAGTTTGTTTCCAAGAGACCCGCGGCTCACAAGCATAAATAATAAATGATCACAGAAGAGACATAAAGCAGAGAGGGCACAAAGCACAAAGAGGCAAAGAGCAAACTAAAGTTAACAAAGTAAATTTGAATAATTAAAAAAAATCATTTTCAGAAATTCAAAAGAAAAACACCACCCTTACACACATGTTTTTAGAGAAGTGAAAAAAATCAGATTGATTATTGTCGAATTTATAAACCAGGGAGAGTATTATTACCTCTGGCAATTCGCAGAACTCATCGGGAGTGATCTGCAGTAACTCTGTGGCAGTATGGCCAGAGCACCAGGCCAAGAGCTTTCCAGTGCCATCAGCAATAGTTACTCTCAGTTCAAAACGTCGCACAACTTCATCATTGCATATGCAGTGACAAAAGTTGCATTTTAGGTCTGCATTGGAAACCTCCTCACTTACAAGATGACCACAAGGGGCATGTGAGAATCTGGTACCGACTTGACAATACTCAATTTGATCCAACCATACTCGACATACCTAAGATATACCATGTACAGGCACGTCACTGAATTAAAAAAGAGTAACAAATGTGTAAAGAATAAAGCTTGTTGCAATGACAAGGCGTACATGTGTACCAGCAGCACGGACTGATAGATCAGAAAGGTTGGAAAATTTGTGAAGGCATGATGAATTAAGCAGTGAAGGTAGGCAGCTAATATTCACAAAATAAGATCCAGGACCATTCTCAAACCATGACAGCTCAAGGCTTCAAACCAAGCAAAAAAAAGATAATCAGATTATTCGTACAAATAGGCTTATAGGCATCAATCAAGTCCTTGATTGTTAAAACATTAGTTATAGATCACACACATTCGGTTTGTGTCATTAGTACAAAACATTATTGTATACTACCATTACTTTATGCTACATTTAAAGATTTTTGATGTTGGGGCGCGGTGGAACAAATAATAAGAGTTAAGCTCCTTGTTGGACAATGTGTTATCATGAATTTGTATCTTTGCAATGTCCTTTACCCATTGCCTTTAAGGTTTTGATAATGACAAAAAAGTGACAAAGAACACCATCATATTGTGCATCAAGACTAAGAATCAAAGTTACAAAATGTTTCTATCTGTCCGTGAAGAATGGACTTTTTGCATACCGAGACCGAAGGCGCTGTTACCTTGATTGGGTAGTCTTTTAGGTCGTAGAATGTGTGTTAAAGAGTATGGCATCAATAAGGTTCATTCCTTGATAATCCTACCTTCAAAACACCTTTTAGATCATCTTTTGTATGGAGAAGTTGCTATTCTATCTGAATAACCTTTGGTTTATTCGAATAAGTCGTAGTTTTTCCAGTGGCTGAAAATGCACCGTTTTATTTGAATAAAAGCAAATATTTATTCGAATAAGTGCATCAGTTTACAGGTCACGGAAACTCTCTGTCTTACCCGAATAAATGAAATCTCAAACCTTTTGATGCATAACCTCTCCCCAACTTCTATAAACTTCCATACTTCGTGATTATCATGAGAAAAACACCAAGAACACATATCATATCACATCCTTTGATTATCCAAAGAGATTCTACTCAATCCACTACACATATCCAAACAAGGCAATTGTTTTGATTGTTAAATCCTTTCTTGCTTGAGTATATCATTCTCATTGCTTGAGTCTTTGAGAGATTGTGCCATATTCTATAGTACTTACTTGTATTTGCAATAATCTCTCCATGTTGGGAGAATTATTCCACTGTGGTTTGCTTTCTTACTTTTTGTAAGGGATTACACTAAGTGGTAGAAATTTTTAACGGTTTGTAAAATCAAACGTTAAGTGAAAGAAATCATGAGTCTTGTGAAATCAAGATTTTGGTGGTAAGATAGGAGGCTTGTGAAATCAAGCTCTCCATTGTCATTTGGATTGTCAAACTCCGTTAAGTTTGATGGGCTGGTAGTGAAGGCTCGGGCACGTTTGCTTCGGAGACTGGATGTAGGCATTAGGCCGAACCAGTATATATTGTTGTCTTCCTTGTTATTTTCCTTCACTTTCTTTTGTTTGGAGTGCATTGGTTTTTATCGAGAATTTGTCAAGAATGTTTCCACACAAAAAGTTAGCCATTTGGGCAACAACTCTATTCACC